AATACCAAAATTGATACACGTCGAGGAAAAAAGTAGATAAGAATATAACGAAAATAAAAACGTTTTTTGATATAATTTTTTCGAGATTTTTTTGAGTCAGAATATTAAGGAAATACTTCATAATTTGCACTAGAAACATGGACAATTATTAAATTTGTTTTTCAAATGTTTTTGCTAAATTGTTTTTGTCAATGCACAGGAAAGCGAGAAAACTAATTGTTATTTATTTGTAATATTTTTTTTTTTAAACAAGTTTTTTAAGTAAAAAAAATAAATAAAAAGTCATTAATACTAATATTTCAATATAAAATATTTGGTTGTTTTCAATACCCCCATTGAAATATTCTGCACTTTTGTAGGATTATCCAAATTGTGCATTTAAATCCAATAGTTTATTTCCTGATGAAATATCGTTATTGATGATGCTCCAAAAGCCTGTGGGCTAGTGCATTGTGGGCTAGTGCATTGTTAATTTACTGAACTTTTTTAACAAAATGTTTAGAAGCCTATTTAAAACTTTCTTTTAAGTTTTTAAATTCCATTTTTATAAACAGAGCAATCATTATGTTCATGATTTTTTGTAATCTTTATTAACATTAGATATTGGGCATTATAAAAGAAACAATTTCAGAATGCATCAAATTTGATTAATACACTTATTAGAGAAACCATGTTATTCTTTTATTTAACTTATTCCATCATTACAAAAATTATTAATCAAATAATATATTTTTTTCTTAATACTTATATGATAGGAAAATACGAAAATAAATGACAATTTATTTTCTTATTTTACTATTATATAAGTATTAAGAAAAAAACATCAAAATATAGCAAAAACATTTTTAAAAGTGAAAACGTAAGAAAAAAAATTGCCAACATTTTTCATAGTTCTAGTGTACATACCAAATTAGTTTCTTAATGGTATGGACTGATAAAAATCGTGAACAAATTACATATCAAAACTTTCAATTGTTGCTAAATTGTTATAAAAGATGTTTTTTCCAACAACCACTCAAAAAAAAAGTTTTTTTCAACAACCACTCAAAAAAAAAGTTTTTCCAACAACCACTCAAAAAAAAATCGTTATAAAAGATGTTTTTTCCAACAACCACTCAAAAAAAAAGTTTTTTCCAACAACCACTCAAAAAAAATCGTTATAAAAGATGTTTTTTCCAACAACCACTCAAAAAAAAAGTTTTTTTCAACAACCACTCAAAAAAAAAGTTTTTCCAACAACCACTCAAAAAAAAATCGTTATAAAAGATGTTTTTTCCAACAACCACTCAAAAAAAAAGTTTTTTCCAACAACCACTCAAAAAAAATCGTTATAAAAGATGTTTTTTCCAACAACCACTCAAAAAAAAAGTTTTTTTCAACAACCACTCAAAAAATAGTTTTTTCAACAACCACTCAAAAAAAATCGTTATAAAAGATGTTTTTTCCAACAACCACTCAAAAAAAAAAGTTTTTTTCAACAACCACTCAAAAAAAAAGTTTTTTCCAACAACCACTCAAAAAAAAAAGAATACAAAAGTTGTATAAAAATTTTATAAAAAAAATTATTTCCTTTTTTTAATTATTAAATTTTATAGTTTATTTAATTAAACTTGATATTTCGTTTCACTTTCGTTTCCTTTTTTTAGGATTGTTTTTTTTTCTTAGTAGATAAGCTTAGCTTTTCACCACGTACTATAGAAACACTTTATAAGTTAAAAGATGCGAACTGCAGTGGTCAGTTTGTCTAAAAAAATTACTTTAAATGTGGATGAAGAAGGCTCGTGACTACATGTGCTTTCTGGGAAGGCTTGCAATATATATCTAAATAAATAACATCTATTCTCTTCATAACCAACATACATAGAATATACAAAGAAATTATAGATAACATCAAGACTGACAGTTACAATGTTTAAAGCATTTATTAAACCATTTGTTGAAAATTATTATCATAGTTATGATTAACTCATTATTATTATCATTAGGTTACTAGCTGTCCAGGTCTTGGTAAATCTATTCCACACCGACCTTTTCTATACTTATTTATTACTTTAATATTTTTTAGTTGGCGGCAGAAAAATAACTCTATCCATTTACAAAAACTATACTTATTGTTTATTTTTAAAGTTCTGAAAAAAATAGAGTTTAAATAACTATAAAAATCTTTAAACGTTTTGGTAGCTCTTGCGCGATTCGCTATATATCAACTAATTAGATATTAGTAGCTAAATAATATTTAGAATAACCACTTGAAATGTTGTAATTAATTACCATCAGTTTAAAAAACTTAAAAAAACATGAGATGACTTAAATATGGAATAGCAGACTTACCATGACCTTTATACTGGTCATTATAAGTCTATTCCACTCCAACCATTTTAATAATTTTGCTTTATTTTAATAGGTTTTAAAAAAGAGCAAAATATAAAAAACATTTTTTTGAGTTAATGATTTGTTTATTACTTTATAACTTCAACAAAAATAAAGAACAAAAAAAAAAAAAAGTGGGAAGGAGCTTAATTATTTTTTTCTTTAATAAGTTTTCTATTTATTTTTTTCAGATCATCTGCAGCTTATTATGTCTCTTGCCCTATTAATTTTGAAGAAAGTTAAACTTGGCATATAAAATCTTTTTTTTATAAGAAAGAAAGTTGTCTCTGTTAAACGTGTTCTGCATATTAAACGCACAAGCTAATTACTTAAGCACATTAACAACGTAAGTTGTTTATCATAAACAATAATAAATTAATTATAAGCACATAAACTTTGTGTGCTTATAATTATTTTATCTTCATCTCCATCATGACATATATGCAAAAAAATTTCAATGGTGTTTTCATGTTTTTAAAAAATTTAAAAAACTTTTTAAAAGTCTCTCCCTTTTGTTTCTTATAGTAATGTTTTTATATTTGTTATGCATATAATATCTATAGTATTATAAAAATGTTTCATTTTTTATTCGAGAAAATTAGAAAAAAACTAAAAAAAAAGTTAAGTTTACAAACAAAAGGATTTTAAGCCACACAAAGCACTTCAACCACTTTAGCATGCTTTATCATCTTTTAAAACTGTTTATAAACCAAAGACTTATTAAACTTTATAAAACATTTATAGCATATAAATGCTATAAATCAAAATTAAAAAGATATTGCCGAAATGATATTTTCAAGTAAAAGCAAATCTGTAAAATTTGATATAATTTACATAACTTAAAGTTTACAGGCTATTTGCGCAGGCTTTCATTCACATTGATAAAATACATATGCAAAAGAAAAAATACAAATCATTTTAAATAGTGGTTTAAAAAAATGCCTGATAACTTTGTAAAAAAAAAAAAGAAATTTTTATTTACATATTAACAAATTAACAAAGCACAAAAATTTTCAATAGTTTTTAATTGTATGATTATATTGAACAAACACGTCATCTAATTAATCTAAAAAAATTAATCTAATTAAATAAAGGAAAAAATACATCAGATTTATTAACTGAAAATCAATAAAATTGCCCCTATTCATCCTAAATAAGGGCAACTTTAAATAAGGTTAACTTTAGCTTCAATAAATTTAACATCCTATGATGAACCAATTTCAATTAATCACCTATAAAACAAAACATATTTATATTTGATATTTCAGAAACTTATATAAGTAAAGTAGGAAATACCAAAAACTAACCGCATGTACATCTGTGTATCATATCTACAGCGTGTATTTATACATCATATCTAAAAAGCCTTGTGCCTTATCAGTTAAAAGCGTCCAAGACTTTTCAATAATATACAGAGTATAATGTTTTGATAGAATATTTTGAATATTTTGATAGTTATCTAAATTCTGTCATTGTTGCGCACTTGTTCTAGAATGATTAACGGGGGTGTGGAAAAATAGCTGTAAAACTTTAAATTTCCTTATTACTCTAATATTATGTATTTTTAACTTTTTATTACTTTTAAAAATTATAATTTTAATATAATGGTTTATTTTAAATATAAAGTTAGAATTTTGAACTCTGTTCTTAATAAAAATATATTTTTTAAACCTCTCTTTTGTTTAGAAAAAGTGAACATCCACGCGTGGCAAGTTCAAATCATCAGCTTTCTTTCTTTTTTTTTAAATTTGTTATTTAAAATGCAAAACAAAAAAACTTTCTTTCTTTCAAAATAAACTTTTTTCTTCAAAAGTGTTTTACTTTGTATTTTAAAAAAATCGAAAAAGATTAAATTTAAAAAAAAAATCAACCGCTGGCAGGAATCGAACCTGGAACTCCTACCTCAGAGCGATGCGTGGTAACCACTCGGCTTAGCAGACTTATTGTTAACTTAATATTAAAAGTATATAACATATTAAAAACTTTATCAAACTAAATTAAGTGCTACATATCAAATCTTAAGGAGATGTTGCCGCAATGCAATTTTCAAGTAAAAGTAAAACTGAAAAACTTGATATATGTTTTAGTATGTTTTTAACTTTACATAATTTGAAGAAAGTTATATATTTGCGTAAGTTAGATATCAGCATACACTTTAGTTGATATTTCTTATATAAAAAAATGCTGCTACTTTTTCTCGTTATTGCCTCGGTTGCAATGGCTGCCAAGAGTATCGTGTCAAACAGGCTCGAAAAGGCACTACTACTACTACTACTACTACTACTACTACTACTACTACTACTACTACTACTACTACTACTGCTACTGCTACTGCTACTGCTACTGCTACTGCTACTGCTACTGCTACTACTACTACTACTACTACTACTACTACTACAACAACTACTAATACTACTACTACTTCTATTAAGTTCAGTATTATTAAATAGATTCTTATACAAAACTTTTAAAAGAAATAATCAAAAAATACAAAACAAAAAAATGTTTGAAATAATAATATTTATTTAAAATAAAGTTAAAATTTTTAAAAATACTTTGTATGGATAAAAAGAAAAATTTAATTTATTTCTGAAAAAAATAAAAATTTAAAAGAGAAAAAAAAAATTTACCCCAACTAGTGAATCTTGAATTAGATGATCTCTTCTTACGACTAGCTTTAAGTATGGAGATGGTATGTGGCCTTGTAATAACCCAGTTAACAATGTTATTCTTCTTTCACTATACATACGAACTCGGTTATCATAAAACAAACCCAAAGTTTTTGTCGATGTCTTTAAAACAAAAGGAAAATGCAAGAAAGAAAACTTATCGTTTCCATGCTTAAAGTTTGAATAGTCAACACTCATTTCTATTGCATCATTTAAACAATCATTTATAAAATCATCATATGGAATTAATGGCTTACGACATCTCGACAAGTCAACCTCCAAAAAGTCTTCTAATATAACACAAGTGTTTTTAGGCGAGGTTGCTCTTGATAGTTCTACAATGTCGTGAGAATTCTTTTTATCAGCAGAATGTGAGTATTTTAGGGTTTTTTCCATATCTCCTCCAAGAATACTTGCATAATATATAATTTTAATCATTTTTATCGAGTTTGTGATATTTCTGTCATCGTTGACAAAAGTCCCATTTGTAGCATGAGGTCCCGTCAATATTCTTACGGTAATCAGCTGCTGAAAAACATCAAGTATTTTTTTAAGACTTGATGATGAAAGCTTTGATAAATAAGTTGCAAGAATGGCTTGCAAATTGACAGGTAGAGAAACTAAAGCCTGGAGAATATTTGGAAGAGCACATTCAAAATATTCTGGACTGTGAAGGTTAGGATTTAGTAAAATAATAACAAACTGATTCAAATCAGTTTTATCAAACAAGGTATTTGTTTTTAACTTTATTTCAAAACTACTTGCTAATGCAATGATTCCATTAATTATAACATTTTCAATGGGTTCAAGTTCAAGTTGTAACAGTAAATTATAAAAATCTATAACTTCATTATAATCAAGAGGTATAATTGATTCAGGACTGTTTGGAATAATGTTTTTTGTTGCAATAAAACTTTTGTTCATTAGATCAGGTGAAGAAAAAGCCTTTCCAAGAATATGAAGTAATGGCAAGAAATTTCCATTGTCGCAAGATTCAATTAACTTTTTTATATAAGAATAACTGAGTACTTGGTCAGAAGAAGTAATTGGGTCTGCATTTAAAAAGATTTATAAAACATTAATAAAATATTTTTGAATATAACAATAAATAAAACATACAGTAGAACTCTCGTAATTCAAACTCCTATAATTCGAAGATAAATCAAACAAGTTCTTCAGTCTCCTCAGGAATTAATATTTAGGATTTGACCTTCTGTAATTTGAAAATTCTTATAATTCAAGCAAATTTTGAGACCCCTTGATGATTCGAATTACATGAGTTTAACTAACTAACTGTACATAGAATAGTAACAAAAACAAATCTATAAAAGTAAAACAAATTAAAAAATATACAATGCAAAATACACACATTAAAGCAGTGATACTCAACTTGAAACCATTTATTTTCTAATCAATTTAACTAAATATTCATTTTTATTTTCTAATCAATTTTATAACTTTTTATTTTTCAATGACGGTTTAAAAACTTAAAATATTACAAAAAATACATTTAAGTAAAAAAATCTCACAATTAGAACTAATTTTTAGAATGTAATGATTTATATTCCAAATATTAGTTATTAATAAAACTTATCATTAAAAGATCAAATTTTGAACCACTTTTTGTTGAAACAATACTACTATGTTTTCCGCCCAAAAAAAAAAAATAAGTTCGTTACTTTTTCAATTTTATTATTATTCAAAAACCACTCCACATTTTAGGACTTCAAACAAGAGAATCTCAATGAAAAATACTGGGTAATTTGAGCATGCTCATATTACACAAAAATGGCATCTTTAAATAAAGTTAAAACTAAATGTTTCTATATATTGTTTTTCAAACAAAAATGGATTGGATTTTTAGCTAACATATTTTTGTTTATGAAAAAATTAACTTAATTTTTTTAGCACCAAAATATCGTGCCACAGATTTATTCATGTATGATGACATTATTTTAAAAATGCAAAAAATTTAACAGCATTTTAATTAGATGATAGCCGCTAATTACTGCATATAAATTTACGCAAATTGTATTGATTACTGTATTGGGGTAAAATAAACAGCTATTAAAGTTTTAAAAACTAATTTAGTGGTGCTAAACATCTTAGTAGCACAAAGGTTTTTGATATTTATCAAATCTTTATTTTCAAAACCCTTCAATTCATGTTTCTGTGGAAAAATAAGGTCTTCAAAGACATTTCATATGCATTTCATATGTTTACATATGCATATACAGCCCTAAGAATTAGGGCTGTATATGCATATGTAAACATACATATTAATTAATTAACTACCAACCTTAAAGTGTTTGAGGTCTGCATAAAATCACTGACCTTGTTTCTATGTTTTATGGTAAACCCTTTGTGTCAATGTTTTTTTGCTGATCTCTAACAGTTTGAGGTCAACTTCATTTCTCTTAATTCCAAGGGTTATATATATATATATATATATATATATATATATATATATATATATATATATATATATATATATATATATACATATATATATATATATATATATATATATATATATATATATATATATATATATATATATATATATATATATATATATATATATATATATATATATATATATATATATTGATAAATGTTGTATACTGATAGTAATACAACTCTTGTGGGTTTAAGAGTGATCAATATCTTTTTTTAAAAAAGATAGATCAAATTATATTAAAATAATTTAAATGAAAAAAATACAACTTTATAATACAAGCAGAAACAAATTCACTTTTTTTGTTAAGTAGCAGTCGACTATCAAAAGTCATAATAAAATACTTTTCATTGATGCAAAGGTTACACTTTTTTGTAGATGGGTTAAAAGATTCGCATCTTTTAATTATGCTCCACTTAATTATAGGCATGTTACCCGCGTCTTTAAGTTTCCAGATTTCCTTGGAAAGTTCCGTATCATTCCTATACCTGGTTGCATTAAATGATTCCAGTCTTACCAAAAAATCCTACATCGGAATTAGTGAAAACACATTCAAGCTCAGATTTGCAAACCATCTCAAATCATTTATAATATGGCTGATGATTGTCGAATGGCATGAAACTTTTAGTTCCATTATAAAGTTGTATTTTTTTCATTTAAATTATTTAAAAATATATATATATATATATATATATATATATATATATATATATATATATATATATATATATATATATATATATATATATATATATATATATATGTATGTATGCAAGCTTGGCCAGGAAGGCGTGTGATTTTATGTCATAGTATGACCATGCAAACTATTTGATTTTACTTAACTTGACCACGGCTGTTAATATGTTTTGAGAATTTGTATACGTTTTAAAAAACGCGCTAAAAATCTTAACTGTAAAGAAACATAAAAAAAAAAATTATTGTAAAAGAAGCAAATAAATCTTCGTAAAAAATAAAATATAATAAAATAACAAAAAACAAAATAAAAATAACTTAACTAAAACTTAAATAACAAAAATAAAAATCTTAACTAAAATAAATAATAAACTATAAAGATAAGATTATCTAATAATGTTTGGAATAAATAACTTCGAATCGTTTAACTTTACTTATGTTTTTATAATATAATATTATGCAAAATCATTTTTAAATAAAGTAACAACTTATATCTTAATAAATGCGCACATTTAATAGTTTTAAAATAGATTCTTAACAATTCTATGCACGAAAAAAAATAATAATAATTAAATCGTTTATTTAAAAAGTTAATAAAAATTTTTTTAATTTAAAAACATTTATAATAAAAAATACTTATATAAATTTAAAGAAGTATATATTATTTGTTAATGTTTTTATAAAAAAATCATTAGCAGTGATTTGTTACTTTATTTAATGTGTTTCATTAATATAAAAACATAAGTAAAGATCAAAGTTATTTAATTCAAACAACTTTCAAAAAAGTTTGTCTTTTTTTCTCTTCTCAACAAAAACTTTAATGATTCTTATATAAAGTTTATTAAAGAGACCTTTGCTGGTTAATGTTGTCGTTTATGAAATTTAATTTTTTTTTTTTGTCCTTTTTTTATTTTTACTTGTAAAAAAAATCTTTTATAATTAAATAGTATAATTTAAAAATTTACAACTTTCAAAGATACTTTAATTAAAATCATTAGCTACTTTATTTAAAAGCGTTTTACTAATATAAACGCTAGTAAAGATAAACGTGTCGAAGTTATTTATTTTCAACGTAATTAAAAACCGATTTTTTTTGCGCATTTGTTAAAAAACCGTGGTTAAATCATCAAAACAAAATATTATTAGCGTGGTTATAAAAAGACTTGAAATCACACGCCTTCCTGGCCAAGCCTATATATATATATATATATATATATATATATATATATATATATATATATATATATATATATATATATATATATATATATATATATATATATATATATATATATATATATATATTTTATATATATATATATATATATATATATATATATATATATATATATATATATATATATATATATATATATATATATATATTGCAAACATTTAGCATAAAAAACACTGACATTTGCTTAAAAATTTGAAAAACAAATATTTTCCCATTTTATTAGGAATTTAAATAAAATAATTTCCAGATTTAATTTAATTTATGTAGAATTCATAAAATGTTTATTTTTTCTGATTTATTTTAATTAAAACGATTGTTTTTCCGTTTTTATTTTAATTATTTTATTGAAGATTTTAATGAAACATTAGTTTTTCTGTTTGTTTTTATTTTTTATTTTTTTGCATTTATTTAGAATTTATTAAAAATGTTTGTTTTACAGCTTTCATCTTAGGGGCTGATCATAAATTTTGTCAACAACTTTTTGGTGATTTTTACATGTCTCCCCCCCCTCTACCTCTGTCAAACTTCCAAAGACCCCTTTAATAATTTTGTGTCAACATTTGATAACTCTCTTCTCCCTCCCCCTAAATCAATTTTAATGATAGTGTTAAATATTTATTATAATTTATTTAAAGTGCAAAATCACAAATCAGTGAATGTGCCAATCCTCCTCAATTTAACTTTAGACAAAAGCTTTTGACACTATTTTGTTAGAGTTATTTAAATTTTGTTAAGTTAAAGCATAATGGGATAATTAATAAAGGCTACTATTGGGTTAAAATTTACCTTACTGATAGAAAACGATATGTTCAAAATAAGGAATACAGAAAATCTGCGGCCTACAAGAATCAATTCCCTCCTATTCTTAGTTTATATGACTTAAATAATGCATCAGTTAAGTTAAAAAACCCAATTATGTTTGCTAATGATACTACAAGCCTTCCGGGGAACCACATGCGGTCGCTAGCTTTGTTCGTCCACATTAAAAGTAATTTTTTTTGACAAACTGACCACAGCAGTTCAAATCTTTTAACTTATAAAGCGCTTCAATAATTTGCATCAAAAAGCTAAACTTATCTACTAAGAAAAAAAATACAATCCTTAAAAAAGAAAACAAAATTGTAATAAAATATCAATTTTTTAGAGTCATTGTTGAAAAAAACATCTTTTATAACGATTTAATAACAATTGAAAGTTTTGATATGCAATTTATTCACAATTTTTATATATTTTTTATTTATTTTTTATAGAAAAATAAGAAAATAAATTGTTATTTATTTGTAAAATATATTATATTGACTGATAAATTTTGTAATGACGAAATATGAATTACTAGAGACCATGAACATAACAATTGCTCTGTTTCAAAAAATGGAATTTAAAAATTAAAAAAAAAAAATTTAAATAGGCTCCTAATCATTTTGTTAAAAAAATTAAATTAACAATGCACTAGCCCACAAGTTTTTGGGAGAATTGTCAATAACAATAGTTCATCTGGAAATAAACTATCCAGTTTAATTGCACAATTTGGATAATCCTACAAAAGTGCAGACTATGTCAATGGGGGTATTGAAAACAACCAAATATTTTATATTTAAATATCAGTATTTTTGACTTTTTATTTTTTTACATGAAAAACCTGTTAAAAAAAAAATTAAACAAAT